GCTAGATGACCACCGGAGGTCTCTTCCAACCCTGATGTACGGTACAGCAGGACTCTGGGTTTGGAGAGTCTTGGGGGGGAGGGTTCAGGGACAGCCCTCTGCAGGGTTACTCACCAAGCTCATTTGGTGGGCAGTCTTTGACAAAAAATATCTCACTGAGGTTGTCCTCCTCTGGTGCCAGACCTTGTTGGTGTAACTGGAGCTTGCGTAGGCCTTCTGTCTGCTGGTGCTTCACAGATCGGACATGTTGTACCAGGTTCAACTTGACCTTGGTGGAGTAATCGCACAGAGCACAGTAGTAATAGCAGGATTCGGGATTTACTGCACTCTCATGCTTTTGCAAGTGCTGAAAAAAAGTAAATATCATTAAAACAATGCTTTGTCTCCATGGTGGATTAGAAAACACCTATTTACAATGCCTCCCAAAACAACAGTTTAATAATAAACATTGGTCATCCCGAGCACAGGTATTTTGGGCTCCTTGAGTCATAAAGTGCTAATATTTCTTTGTGATGTTATTTCTCCATTAACTAAAATAAAACACTACCAATACTTAAAAAAAAACAGCATCCCAGTGTGCTCAATCTCAAAATAATTGCACTCTCAAACATACAAATAAATAATCAACTAGTCTTCCAATGCATCAGGTAGTGTAAAATGGGAAAACCAGCCTGATTATCAAAGAGAACATCAAATGCTCATATGACAAGTCCTGGAGAAACGATAGCTACAAGGAATACCATCCTGATAAAGTTAAAATACCAAACAGAAAAATCATGTTATAAAGTGGTGTTATAGCTATAATCCATAGAGGATATGATACATAGAGGATATGTATCCACACACAGAGAATGCTTCAAGTTTAATTAATATTTTAACCTAACACATAAATGAAAAAAAATAACAAATGCCAATTCTGGTATGTCTCAGGTCAGCCCAGTGTTATAGAGGTTACACTTTGTTATAAATACTGACTTAAACATAAATGTTTATATAAATTTTCCATAAATCTGCATGCATGGAATAAACTTACATTTTCTATAAACAAAAATGTTTCTCTTAATTATATGTTAGATACACTAAAATGTTAAGTAACTTAATTTGAAGTTTAGCTTAATTCAAAACAGACACTATGATGTGAAACATTTTTTAAACCATTTACAGTGACCCACAACAAATTTTAGTTTAAAATAAAAAAAAAATCTGTTTTTGCAAGCATTGCTGACTCTGATTTCTGCCCACAGCATGTAACAGGATCCTCTTAAATTCTGATTTTTTCAATGGAAAACTTTTACAACTCCCAAACATATTCTGTTCCAGTAGTTTATTTCTAAAAAACATTTTCTTTTAAAGTTAAGGAACATCCATTGCACAGGCACAATAAATATATTCCAAAAATAACACTGATGATTTGCTGCAAAATCAACCTCTTTATTTGGGACAGGGTTCAGTACAACTCTAAGAGTTTTTCTAATTCATTAAATTGTGCTGCTTTTTTCTTTAGATATCAAATGGTACAGGTGGTATTTATTTGGCTTTGGATTAGTTAGATTACAGTTGGCATCCTGAAATTCTTGCAGAAAATAGTTTCAGTGCAGGATCAGACATGTTGATTTCTACCTTTTTTTTTCTTTTTTCTTTTTTTCATTTTTAACATCTGAAAGTGGTTAGTAACCAACTGGTTGCTGAGTCTTTCCAAACACTATGGAGACATGACACATATAGTATATTTTTGTAAACCTCCTGCAGGCTGTCTTTTTTTTTTTTTTTTTTTTTGTCAGCTTGATGTGGCGAGTTAAATACCAATCCATAGAAAAGTTACAAGTTTGTGTCTATGTGTCCCCCACTGCCCACCTCAGCCATAATAGAAAATATCAGAGCAGCACCTGTATGTTATGAATCATCACCTGTAAAAACAAATCATTCATAATTAGTCCCAGCAAAATACTTAGAAGGTTCAAAGGAAGAGACTCTTGAATACCTTTAAGCTCTATATCCTTTTTTCCAATGTCAACATTTAAAGAATACACCCAAGTCTTGACCTATACGGGAGCAATGCTTTGCTGTGCCATTCAAACAGCGCATCCCCAAGTAACATCCAAAAGGAAAAAGGCAATCCAGAACTTTACCTTCTCCAGTTCTTCAGATCTACAGATTTGCCTACGGCCATAGAAAAGAGGATGAGTGGAAAGGAGATTGGGGGTTATACCACGTAATACACAAAAGCACTTTCTGTAGGGGGAGATGAAATTAAACTCCTTTTTTCTTATGTAAATCAAGTAACCATTTATGCCAATTAGTATGCAACCAATGCTATTTGTAGGATTTAGTTCCATGTTTATTAATAAAGTAGACAGGTCAACTCAAAAGAATACTTCACTTCCTCGCAATGCAAACAGGGCATTCCTTTTCATATAACATACCTGGTGGGGATTCTTACTTTTTTTTAATTCCAAATTGATAACAACTACATTAAATAAAAAGGAGCAAGAAGAATGTGAAAGCCCAATTCATTTAGTATAAAACTAGTACTGTCCAGTGCAGAATATTGTTCATTGTAACTCAGACGTGTGAAGAACAGCAGGTCCCTCCATTCAGGCTGCCCCATCAACTGTGCATTTTAATTTGAACCACTTTTGCATTAGAACTTACTTTTTTGCCAACCCATCTTCACTAATGTTGCACCACCTAAAGCTTTCGGCCGATGCTCTACCCCCAGCTAGCCAAGCATATCAAGTGTGCCTGCAATACTCACAGGCTAATGAACAATGCACAAAAACAAAAGTAACAGCAAGACTCCTATTATCTGATCTTCCGTAAAATACAAAAACTGCCTTCTCTGGTACAGAGGAAGTGCCACTAAGCCTGCAGGTGTGAGCCAGTTAAAAGAAAAGGCTTTGGTTAAATAGATTCTTTGACTGTCAGGGATTAGAGTCATGGCACTAGTGGTAACACACATCTTTTCCTTTAATTTACAAAATTTTCTCACGAGTTTGCAAGAGTTCACCCCATCAGGGGCTTTCTGAGGCCATTGAAATGTCTTAAGTTTTAATTAAGTTGGAGTTGTCAGAAGAAAGCTTTTTTGGCACAGAGTCAGGGTCATTAATTACTGCTATCTTTGTTTCTTTCAGAAAAAAGAACTCTACTGACTTGTTGGGTTACTTATACAGCCTACGTTTTCTATCCTGCAATCTTATTCACCTCCAAGCAAGACTTGATTAAGCAGTTTACCATTAATTCCATTTACGGATAATCTTAACTTTAGAAGTTTTTCTCAGTGCTGATTTTGGCTAAAATACTAATAAATGCATCAGTTTTATTGTAATCAAAGAGTATCTTAAATTCTAGCTTTGTAATTCAAAATGGTACTTGGATCCAATTCCTGATCTTGCCATCTTACACCAATCTCTTATATATTAGTAGTTGGATAACTAACTAATAACATTAATAAACTCATCTGCATAAATTATTCACACTCAATATTATTATTTCCAAGGTAGCAAGTATTTTTACTTGGAATATCACATTTTCTTTCACTAAAATTCACAGCTTGTTTGCAGGTATACTACATGTGTACGGTATGTAATTAACAGTAATTACTTTAAACAACAACAAAAAACCCTATAGAATAATTAACCAATAGTTGTTGACATGTGAAGCTGTTCAGTGGCCTATAGGTAAAGGGACATTGTGGGGTTTGGTTTCAGTGGATATATCCACATCACAAAAAAGCCACCATCACAACTGGCACTAATTTGCAGCCTCAAGAAAGAGCAGGACTTTGTGGGCATGGTGAGTAAACTATCCCCTCATTCCTAGAGGTTATGCTCTCCCTCCAGATTGGGGGTGAGACAAAGAGTGGCATAGCACACTGCCCTGTACTGCCTGTGGAATACCCATTACTGTTGATAAACAGAAGAATTCAGTTTTCACGGGTGTCATTCCTATGCCTCTTATGAGCAAAAATTCACATATAAATATTATTCTTCAAAAACAAATAAATCCTCATTTAATATACACATGTTTTTAGATAGCCTGTTAATACTACATTTTATATAGCACTGAAATATTACCATGGCTGATCTCAGAAAGAATGATAACTATAAATCATTCTAAATACACAGCTTGTTCATCTAAATTAAGTTTGTTTTATCAAAATCCCCAAATTCCTAGAAGCCTGCAAAAGGCCTATGTTAAACTACATATTTTGTACTGTTTTTAATAAAAACATTGGCAAAATAATGTTTTTTCAGAAACCCTGACTTGGATTTCTGATTTATGGAGTATACTTTACCATTTTGAGCTAGTCAGCTCAGCAAGTGGTTGCTCAGCGACTGCAAGACTTGAAATGTCTGTGGCATGGTATAAATTATTTTGATCCTCTCTTGGGTTTTTACTTAATTTCTCACCCATTTACTGTACTTCACATAAAATGCAAAAACAAGATAGCTTTTAATAATTTCTAAGAAACACTAGAGATAGCGTTAACCAGTTCTAGAAAGTCAAGGCACCTCCAAAACCATAGGGGATTCCCTGTCAGGGAAGGTAGTTTGTTGCGATGTATCTGTGTGTAGCTGCATAATATATACAGCCCCTGGGCTAGCCCAAGTCTCCGCTGTAGCTGCAATGTCCACACTGCTGTTTTTAGTGAAACTAGTGGGTCTGTCTGCCTTGCACACTCCCAGCTGCAATGTAGACATACCCTGTGTGTGTGTGTGTCTGGCAACTCTGCTTTCTGAATCTACTACCAGAAAAAAAAATCCTATTGAAATGAATGAAGCTATTTATTTGATAGAGTATTACAAAACTATACTAAAAAAGCTCCTAAAGCACCTCTTTTAATGTCATCCATTATTGTGATACACACCAATCTCCACATTACCGTTCAACCTCATTGTCCAGCCCTTGTGATTGTTTCATATTTAATCATCTTATGCTTAAATAGCTTTAATGTTATAATAATAACAAAAACACCCAAATCCCCAGCAGATGTATTTGTGCCCATGGTATGAATATGTCCTGGATATAGAGCTGTCATCATACCCCTGAATTCTTATTCACTACATGCCAGTCACATTTTCACTCACTCATGAGGTGTATACCGGTGGCTTGCTATTTGCACCGTGCTTGATTGTAGTGGGAGATTCTCAGATTCAAGACCTCTAGGGTTGTAGTCTCCTCTCAATATGCGTGCAAGGCTGCTATTGACATTAGTGAGAGGTACACTGTGTGCACATATGGAGCTGTGAATGGACACTTTATAACTTTGTACGTTTTTTTCCTTCACCAGATGAGTACTTCACCCAGTCTTTCCAGGACTTGAGTTTGCTTTTATAAATTTCTCAGCAGTCAAACAGTGTTTAAAAACCATCTCCCTTTTTAAAAATAGTTTTAAAGTATAAATGCATAAATATGTACATTAATAAGTACATAAGTACAGACATACCTTATAGACAGCGTTAAAAAGGCCTGTAAGGGGCTTACATGTTTTATTCTGCAGCCAAATGTACAACTTCTAGACCTTTCTGGCTATGGTGACAAAGGAGAAACTTTGCAGGCTCAGCTCTGATTTCAAATACAGGGTGTGTATTTGCATGTACTTTACAAAATCTGTAGCTGGTTTAACTAGGTATGTGAAGATATGTGCCTGCACACAGTATGAGAGGTGTGAATCAAGCCCTGTATGTGGATCAACACAAATTTAGCACAAGTGCTATACTAAAAAAATATTAAATTGTAAAATGTTCCTCAAATTC